TTTACTACTACTGTAGAAGAGAGAGAGTGAGAAGAAAGGAAGAGAGAGAGAGAGAGAGAGAGGAGAGAACTGCTTCTAGAGCTAGTTACTTGCTGTAAGCAAGAAATTTTCCTAAAATCATTTCTAATGCGTTTCATTCAACATGTTGGGATGATATATGACTGATTAAATGTATTTAATAATTCTGAAATTTGAACTGGAATTTGTCAAAACTGTTAATTTCAAAATATAATCGATTAAAATTTTACGATTAGTGGGAAATTCCAGTGGAATTTAACCTAAAAGAATTGCAATACAAGTTATTTGATTAAGACACAGTTAAGATTTAATTGTTTTCAAATGAAGCTAGTTTCTTCAAAAATTTCCATCTGATTGTGGCATAAAACAAAGGAAATGAAAGTAGGCCACCTGTATTTACTTTATTTTCCAATCCATTTCAGTTTTTTTTTTGTATTTTATTTTTTCATAGAAATTTTTTTTATTTTTTCATTGCAAAACAACAAAAAACAAGAAATATAAAAAGAAATTGGCAAACAATAAAGAAAGAAAATGAATCCTTTAACAACTTAGAAATACCGTCCAGTCAATGAGAAATAAAAAGCACTGACTTAAAAATGGCCATTGGTCTGAAATAACTTCTGATATCGTTCATTGTAAAAGTTTACCCTCCAGATGACTGAATGCTTCTACTTTCATCCTTCCTTTCTTTTTGATATGTGTTGTTATTTATTTTGAGAATAGATAGAACGAAAAAAAAAACTGTGATGGATTTATTTGAATAATGATATGATAATGATAGGAAAAATATGGAAGTTTTTATCGCATTCTTTGTGTATTTTGAAATTTTTTCCATCTTAATTAAGTTGATATTTTACAAAATTTAAATTTGATAATTTAAGAAAACTAATTAGGGGAGTAAAAAACTGGAAAATTAAAATTTATTATTTCGACAAAGGAAGAGAAAGGAAGTATTGTGGATAAATGAGTAAGATAGTTCGAATAATTAAATAATATCGTAATTAATTATGTTTGAATAAAGTTTGGCATTTTACAACCATTTTATGATTAATATTCATTTTTCAAGCATTAAACAAAAATCATTCCATTTTTAAGAAAAATATTTACTTATTAAACGGAAATCTCTGAAATCATCCGAAAAAGAAAATTTTGAAATTATTTGTAATTATTTGCAACCAATTGTAATTGATTTAGATAAAATTAGGTTTAGTTGAGAGATATATTTAAATAATAAATTTGGGATTGGAACTTAAGTAATGATTTTAGAATTAGAGTTCAAGTAATGGGTCAGAGATTATAGGAATGGCTTTTAGGTGTTAGAAATGAGAGAGAGTGAACTAGAATGAATGACAATTCTTCATCTGTAGTGAGACTTCTCCAACATATGCTTCAAATCACTAGATTAACATTCAGTCTATCATATTTTTGAACTTTATGTTTTTATTAATTACCAATTATTCTTTGGTTAATTATCTATCATTTGCTAATATGAATGACATCAAAGAATGCACGACGTCTTTTTTCCTTTGAAAATAAAATTATTTTTAAGTTCATTTAATTTCTTTTCAAATTTTTGGTTTAGTTTTTGAATAGAAAATTTCAAAAACAAATAGTTTCACTTTTAAATATTCAAAATATTGGAAAATTGCTTTGAGTAAAATTTAAATGATGCAAAATATGATGGAAATTTATATAATTTTAAAGTAACAGTTGGTTATGGGATTGTTTTTGTCACGTCCACTTATCTTTGATTGAAATACTTCGAATCATATCTTTTGATATTTAAACAGTTGAAGTTATTTAAATGGATTTTACTTTTCAAAAAGGTTTCATTTAATGAAAATCAAAAAAATCAAAAATCAAAATAAAAAAATGAAATTCCACAGCATAAAACTTAAAAAATAACAGTAATTCATTTCTTTCATTACATTACTTATTAGCATTGCTTTTTTAATTCATTTATCTTAACAGTTTGTTAATCAAATAATAAATAAATAAAGTGAATGCAACAAGCATTACTTGCTTCATAACATTTTATATTTTAATCTTAAGGTATTCTTTGTGATGAGATAAAACTAATAACATTTAATTAATTCATTGTCAATGAGGAAAAGTTTATAAACCATAAAAATAACTAAATATTCATTTGCCAATTATTTGTAAATAGTGAAATAGGATTTAAAAAATGTTAAATAGAATTCAAGTACTGCTTTTATCAATTCAAAATTATCATTTAAACATTCTAAGAATTTAGAAAACTGCACATAAGCTGTATTTGATAAAAAAAGTTATGACAATTCAAACCCATTAGAAGTGCTTCATTTTTTGTTTCCTACAAACTTTATTTGCAATATTTTTGAAATGTATTTATTAGTTTTGGAGGAATTTAACAAGCTATTAAATGCAAATAATTTGAAAAATTTCTTCAAATGTCTTCTGTTTTTTTAATATATTCAAATCAATGTTTTTTATCAAAAATATTGATTCGAATCATATTGCTGTTGTTAAACTTTCAGCTGGTTTTAGCACAAAAAAAACTGTTAAAAATTGATCATTTGCAGCTAATATCCAATCAATACTTTTGAAACTTTTAAAAGATTTTAATACATATATACTTGAAAAATGTGCCAAGAAAAGAAACTTCATTTTTCAATCTCATCAAAAAAGTTAAAAAGATAAAATCCACTTTAAAAATATTGCTTGAACATATTACAATTGAAAGTAAATCCTTTCTTTTCTTTTTTTTTTTTGAACAAATTTGGAAATTTTTTCTCAGCTCAAATTTCTTTGGCCATTCCTTTTTTTTTCCATCAATATTTTGAGGAATTTCCTTTCTTCTTTTTTCTTTTCGTCTTAAATGACTTGGCTTTGGCAGAAGCCAAGTTTTTTTTTTTGGTAAATTAACAAAATAATTGTTTGAAATGACTGTACTAATCAATATCATTGAAGAAAAAATATATGAAACTAAATGGTCGTTTAAATTATAATTAGTAATTTAAAAGAAAAATTGCTAAGCTAATTATAGAAAATGATGCATGTTAAATTTATTTGAAACTAATTGATGCATAAAATCTCAACTTTAAGTAAACAACTAAAATACAAACAATTAGTGTTTGTCGCCCATATCAAAAGTAATAAATAGCCATGGTACGCATAAACAGACAGATGTCAAACTTTAGGCTAATAACAAACACATTCTTCAGGCTACAAGCCTAACCAACTATGCGTTATGTCAGTTGGTCGACATACTTTGAGAAGAAATGAAGTAAATAAACTTCAACTGGTATCTACATCAGCTATTAGAGAATAACAGACTGATTATTATTATTGGATTGAAATTTAAACTTTCATTTTTTTTTCCTGTCAAGCAATCATTGGAATATAATGTCACAAAGGTCGACCAGAAAAACTAATTGTTGAGAATAACTTTGTCAATGATAATATCAAACATTTATTTTCATATCATTTGATTAATAAAAGAAAGGAAATTTAAATTACATCAATTTAAAATTTAAAATTTAAAATTATTAATATTTCTTCCATTTTTCCCTCTTTGAATAACTAAATTTCTCATCTTTCATTGGATATCAAACAGATTGAACAAAAAAACCAAGAAAAAAAAAAGAAAAGAAATTTCATTAATTTATTTCAATGATAAAATTTAGTGAAAGTAAACGATTCAATAAATATATGCAATAAACCAAAGATCAAAAATGATTTTAGTGGAGAAAAGCTGTTATGACAAAAATGCAATCAGTGATTTAGGAAGATAAGGCTCATCTTCTATAATCTAATCTATCTAGCATCCTTTCATCCATCACTATTTTAGCCTAGCTAGGCATAAACAAGTTATGTTTATAAAACCTATGCGGATTTAAAAAGGCATTTCCTGAGAATTGAAAAATTGGCTTGAGATGAAGTCGTTTTATTTATTTGCATGAAATGAATGAATGAATGGTTGTTTTGTTAATATGCAAATTAGGCGAAATTTATATATGAATATTTGCATAATGTAAGGGAAAGTATTATCATTAGCTGATGGAAATGATTTGAATTAGTATTGGATGATGGGAATGATTTGATTAAAAGATGAAATTAATTAAAATAAGCAAGATTAATTAATCAAATCCCTAAAATTTCTGGAAATTAAACAACATAAATTATTCGTTTCATTACAATTCCTAAGGAAGTATGTTATGTAGATAACCATCGAGATAATAAAATTTGTCAAATTGAGCGTAATAAAAAAAAACAAAAAATTTAAATATCAAGTAAAAATTTAAATATTAGATTGGAGATTGATTGACACTTCTACAAAAATTAATGATATTAAATGAATAATTTGAAATGAATAATTATTATTCAAGTAATTACTACTTTGTGTATTTGCATATTTCTGTTTTACAGATTTATTAATATGCGCAATTAAAAAAAAGTTCAGATAATTTAATTGTTGATAATTAACAAATAAACACCGACAATGTTTTTTTTCCTTTAGAATTTTTTTGTACTGAATATTTTAATTAAAAGTGAACTATTTCAACTTTTCATTTTAAATTTTAAAGTGGCAGATAAAAGGAAAAAGGATAATAATTGTCAACTTTCACATATAATTTAATTTAACAGTTGAATATTGGAATAGGATGGAATTATAAGATACCTAATATAAACAATTGTCTCTTAGATGAAACTAAATTTAACAATTCAAGAATAAATGGGAAGGAAAGGATGGCCTGAAAGAATGTTCGGTAAAACGATTACATCGCATCAAATATCATTATGTATCCCGGAAGGTGTGCACACAGTGGTACACACATTGACAGAGTACAATTTCATTCCAGTAATTTCTTAACAACTGTTTCTATTTCAACGAATATTTACATCTCTGGACGATTTCGTAGAATAAATAAATGGAAATTTGAAATAATCTAAAAGTTTTTGTTTATTCGTTCATTCATTATTATGCAAATTACTTTTCGATTCGGATCATTAATGTAAAATATGCATGAAAAATTTAAAAAAAAAAAAAGCGACGAAAAGAAACCTTTCTTCCTAACTTTCCTTTTCATACTGCTTATGATATTTAATTATTAAATTAATAGCTATCATTAAAAACAATAATTAGCTTTAAAGCTAAATGCAATTTCCATTTACTGAAATCTTAATATTACAATTTATTATCAAAATTTTGTTTGTTTATTTTATTGAAATTTGAATCAGTCGATTATCGATTTGTTTTCTGCTCATTTATTCAACAAACAATTGTGAGGATGAAATAAATTCTGTACCGGAAATCTAAATCAGAAAAGTATTCATAGAATTCATGTGCTACTTCCTGTTTCTGTCTTTTAATTAAAAATATCTCTTCATACTTATGCCATCTGTTGTTTGTTTTCCAAGCATCATTAAAAAAGAAGAAAGAAACGGTGAACTGATGGTAGTGACAAAAAAAAAAAAAAAAAAAATAAATATCATAAAAAAATTCTTTTTAAGAATAAAACTTTTGTTTGATTAAAAAAAAATGGAAAAATTGATGATTTTATGGATGATATTCATCAATAAGCGATCAAAAAACTTTTGGACATATTTTGAAATTAACTTTCATTTAATTAACTCTTTTTTTATCATTTTGAACATACGAAGAGGTCAGGCAAGTTGACACGTTTGACACACATTACAAAATTATCTTTAATCGTCTTTTTAAAGAGCACGCATATACATTTTCAGCTTTTAATACATTACTTTGAATTAATCCAACAGTTGCTATTTTAACTCGTCGTCGTTGATTCTCTAATCCTATACTTTCCATTTGTTCATTACCATTTACACTGTTACTGGATGATGATTGATGTGATCCGTTACTATCCGTTTTTCCGGATAGCGTTGATGATCGTGATGATGGTACTAAAATAAGTGATATGAAAGGAAAACAAAGAAAAAAAAATTTCATTCTATCATTCATTTCTTTTCCTTTTATAAGGATAAAATTAAAGTAGAATTGTAGCATTGGTGAAAGATAAAAGAAATTACCAAATAATGCATTTTTAGCATTGATAACAGCTTCGATACACCATGATAACGATTCTCGATCAACAAGTTCTGCGTACTGATAACACAATTGTGACCAATGAAGATATGAAGACAGCTTACTGACATCATCTACATCTCTTAAGATTTCGAATATCTTCCGATATTTCTCCTGAAATTTGCATAATTCGTCGCTAAATTATATTTTTTATTTCATTGTTCATTGACAGATCGATTGATTGGTTGATTGATTTATTGAATGATTGATTCATTCATTCATTTGAATTAAATCATATAATTTGTAGAATGTGATATCGATGACATATATAGAAAAAAAAAAACAAATAAACAATTAAAGGAATAACTACGAGGAGATTTATCACACTCAGAAATGAGAAAAAGTTAATACCTTAACTTCAAGAAATAATCGAAGTCTTTCTGCAGGATTGCTGATAAATCTCATTTGACAATAACACCAGTTTAAAATATATTGATATTGAGTTAACCACTGAAGGTCATGTGAGCCTAAAATCAATTATTTTAGAAAATTTGTTCATTCACAAATAGAAACCATCAAACAAGACTATTAATAAGCATTTAGAAATTTTACTGTAAAATACGTATTTCAGTATTTATAGTAAAGTATTTGTTTTATGTATAATAGTAATATAAATAGGAAATACAAAAGTTATAAATGAGAGAAGATTGTCTGATAGTAACATTTTATGAATAGTATTTTGCTAATTTTAATGATATCTATTTGTTCCATAAAAGAGTAAATAATTCAATAAAATATTTAAATGAAAAAAGTTCCACAAGAAAAGAAAAAAAGAAAACAAACAAATTTGAATTTCATTTATAGCATAAATTGCACTTTTCAATTCATAAATTCTTTCTGAATGTTCCTTGCAATTATTAAATCGTTCCATAAATGTCTTCCGTAACAGTTCCAAATCTGTTTTCGTTATACTGAAATAATATCATATCAGGTTTATTTCTTAAATGATTGAATGATTTGATTAAGTGACAGGAAAAGTTAGCAAAGAATAAAAATTGTCACATTATTGTATTTAGCTTATAACCTGGTCTTCTTGGATACTTTCATTTATCCATACAATTCATTAATAAAAATCAGAAATTAAAGATCATCTTTTGCTATTTATGAATAATTCCACTGATATATATGCAAAAAAAAGGTACCCATCAGATGATTTGGCTAATCGTCTGATCACATAACGATCACGACAGTTTTCTGGTAATCGTCGTTCGTTGTCATTTTTTTGATGAGCTGATTGTAACATTAATAAATGCAATGGGCTGTTCTCCTCAGCTATAAATCATTTCTTTTTTTTAATTTTTTGCAAATTTTAATTTGAAAATTTTTAAATTCCAATATTCATCCATTCTAATTAATTACTATACTGTTCATTAGTTATAGAACCTGAGCAAATAATGCGACCTTTATTGCAAATATATGTGAGGATAAATTGAACAATCAAATTCCTATAATTATATGATATGATAGGATTTAAAATCAATTAGTTAACAAATATACATTATCTTTTGGATGAATCTTTTTCTCTTTCCTTTTTTTTTGTAATCAGACAAACATAGTTAATGAGATAATAAATTACAAATCAAATTAACCTAAACAAAAAGGTTCGAAAAATTTCAAAAAGAAAAGGGAAGATTAGAAAAGACTAATAATATTAGCTTTTCATATGATAATTATTCTAATTTATAGAGACTATTCGAAATTAGCACAGAAATATGAAATGAAAAAACTAAGCGAACAAAAGTATAATGGAAATGTATGGAACTAAAATTAATGATTTTAGTTCCATAATTAATTATTGCAAGTTTCAAGTATGACTTTTGTTAACAAAATACAGTAAAGCAGGAAAATTTCAATTTATATAAAATACAAAGAATAAAGGTACAACAAACAAGTCATTTAGAAGAAATGATTAGTGATGAGGAAAAAATGCAAACCAATTAATTAATCGGATAAATAGAAATAGGAAATTAATCAAAATATGAATGAGAAAATATTATTTATTACCCAATGGGTCATTTCAATTTACAATTATTCAGTGGTACTTTTCAGTCGCTGCAATAAAATTATCAGGAGTTATTGAATTTATTATTTCCAATCTGTCAAATCATATTTTCACTCATTTGAAAAAATTAGAGGACGAATTGAGGAGAAAAATTGAAAGAATTTAAATTAATTTTTTCAGATTATTTTCTATCGGAAAACATGGTGAGTCATAAATTGAAAATGAAATCACACCAGCAAATAAAATGGATGTTAGGCCATCAGTTTCATTTCATTAAATTTTCTTCCATGGCTTTCTAGCTCATCTCTTTAAATCAACCATATTCATTGATATTTCAGCGACTAATTTTAAAAATAATTTATAAAAGTCTCCAATAAAAGATAACAAAAATCTGAAATGTAAATTTTAATTCAACGGAAAAATGTCACATCGAAAATAATGTATGAAATGGAAAATGACAACTGTCAAGAGTTACGGCAAAGGAGAAATTTCGATATTCAAAAATGGAAATATTTGGATTTGCATTTGACCAAATTAATTCATCCGTAATTCCTCAAATGATCACAAAAGACGTCACCCGATCGATCGGATCGATTGAAAGAGTGAAATATTAGTGCAAAAAAAAATTGATTTTTTAAAAAGGAAAAGAAAAAGAACAAGTTTGCAACAGGAAAAATCTCATGCATACACGTACATGGAAGGTTAATTCATGTGAAGCATCAAATGTAAATAACTTGAATAAAGCAATCTTTGTGCAAATAAAAAAGGTTTTTTTTTTCCTATTTGTCAAATATTTTCAATAGTGCCAGTTTTTAAATGACAACAATCGTTGCTAATTAAAACGAATTATTAATTAATGATGGGAAGTTATCAAATTTAGAAAAAGGGAAATGGGAAAAGTAATAGGGAGGATTTACTATTTATTGTGGAATAATACATAGAATGAGATTACAAAAAATTTAAAAAGTGATATTTTCACTTCAAAAAGTATGATGACTAAACGGTTGGTTAAAAAGTTACGAAAAGAGCACAGTGCAAAAGAAAGAGATGTAAATAACAGAAATCCGATATTTCTTCTCTTTTTTAATTACCTCTAAAATATTGGCAACTGATTCGTACTAACTAAAATTCACAATTTTTTTTACTTCAATGATGAAAATTTCTTTTTTAAAGCAATTTATGTGTATATAAATTAGTTTTGAAGAAATTTACATAGATATATATTTAAATTTTATTATGAGGAAATGAAAGAATAGACCATAGTCAAAGTGACAAAACAAAAATGAAGGAGAGGATGGATGACTTCCAACTGCTGCAATGAAGTTTGTGTGCGTTTGAAGACAGATTAAATGAACTATTTCAAAAAAAAAAAACAATTTTTTTGTTGCTGATCGTTAGTTTTGATGTATGAAAATGAAATCCCAGAAAACGACTCTTTTTCCACTCTCATTTTATTACAATTTTCAGATAATAAATTAATGCTTTTATATGTATGTCAAATTATATTTGTTTTGAAGCAATTAATTTTATCAATATCAACATATCTTTATCATGTTGGTACCAATGATTATGAAGAGAAGTTGATAACTAATGATAGAAGCAGAAATTTAATTCTCATTAGTATCAATTTTTATGCATTTGATAGTAACAATTATAAACTGTTAGCAAAGACTACGGGAGATTATATGGAATTCATTAAATTTTATTCTTCACTTGGCGAAACATTGATAAGGTCTAACAGGTGCCAATCTTCTTTCTTCTTTTACTTCCTCAATAAAAACTTGAGACTTAAAAGATGTTGAAGAGGAGAAGTGCAATTGGGAAAAAAGAAAGGTTTTTTGAAAACGTTACTAAAAATAAAATTTAGAACAATGAAAGAATTTTTTCTGAGTGGCTTGCATACTTTTTAGAAGATTTGACTGCAATTAAATTTCGATGTATCCGAAAATGTTATAACCGATCCTTGACCAATAATTCACCAAGTTATTAAGATTCAACCATAAGATAAATTTTGCATTCAATACTCAAAATAATGGAACTCAAATACTCTAAATGTGATATTCAAATACAGCAAATGGTTATCACCATGAATAACCATCACAATTTTATTCAGTAGAGACAAATTCAAATATTGATTAATTAATCAATTAACTAGTGAGTGAAGTAAAGCTCAAGCTAACCATCATTTATATCTATCAAGCTATTAGCATGGTCGAATACCGCAATACTGTGTCGCTTCCATCGTTTATTGTGACCACATGATAGCAATACAACGTTCATCATCTCTGCTGTGGTCATTATCAGTAAATCGTTGTTACTGCTGTTTTGTTACTTTCAAAAAATTTGGCATATCTGAAATAGTGGTAGCATAATTACTGCTTCTATACAGTAGATGATAGTCGTTATTATCGTTATCACTAGCATATTTCAGCATCAAAATTATCAGATGGATAGAAGATCAGCAAGTACCAGATAGATAGAAATCCATGAGATGTAAAAGCCATCAGATGAAAGAAATTCCATCAGCTAAAGAAGAGTTTCACAAATTCATTATCATTTGTTCATTAGAAATCATTAATAAAAAGAATAAAGTATTTCCATTTTAAGTATTTGATTCTTTTGTATACAATTTATCGTATTGCACTCAATTTTATATAATTTCTGCTGAGTTATAGTCGTCTTAAATATTAAAATGAAATGAATCCTTTGCAGAATGATTAGCTCTTTAAACTAATCATTCTGCAAGGGATTCAAACTGATAAACTATTATCAATATACTGTTTTCCCTTACTGATAAGCAGACAGAAAGTATGAAAAGTTTTGTCATCTGATTTTCATGAAGAAGAATTTAATTTATACGTGATGCATGCAATTATTGATTCATTCGCTGTCCTTTGGAAGAAATGATGGAATTTTAAAAATTTTTATCAACTCATTTCTTTTTCATTTCTCTTAAAACCACACAAATAGATTTCAGGAACTTTTGGTTTCCGGTTTTTTAACAAACGAAAAACGAAAAACGAAAAAGAAAGAAATAAAGTAAGGAGGAGAAGGTAAACTTGATTTCAAAAAAAGTTTTGTCACTAAAGTTCGGGAATGAATGAAGGAAGAAGAAGACGATGATGATGAAGAAAAAATGAGAATGAATGATAAAAGTGATTAAAGGAATGATATGGAAGGAGAAGAAGAGTTCATAAAGCAAATAATATGATAAGAATGAATAAATTCCAAACTTTTCTATGTGTTCCTTTTTATTTCATTTCACTTTTCTCGTCCTTTTTGCATGCAAAGAACGCCATCTTCTCCTTTATTGGTATTATTATACTGTAATTGATAGCAGTGCTTAATTAAGTTCTATCAATTAAAACTTGAAATGGTCAAACAGGTTAGAAGAATTTCCAGCTTTTGGTTATATATGTGAATTTTATACGCAAATTTTTTAAATTCTTCATTATTTTAATTTTTGCCGAGAATTGCTATCTCTTAATGGCATTTAATTTAAGTACTTTCTTTTAGTCTTAAAAAAATGAAATAATGTCGTGGAAAAAGTTGGTAATTTCAAATCGCTCACGTGTTAAATGATGAAAAGATATTCAATTAAAATCAAATATATTCAAAGATATGTTCAAAGAAAAAAGTAAATAAACATGAAATATGTGAATTTAAATTTTTCCGAAGTATGTTGATTTTTTATCAATACATATGTTTTTTAAGTGATATAGATGAATTTGAAATTTTCTCTATTAAAATCATTCCAAACTTTCATCCCTTACTCTTAAAGGCCGATAATAATAATAATAATAATAATAATAATAATAATAATAATAATAATAATAATAATAATAATAATAATAATAATAATAAT